CTTTCTGAGGTTTCTACCATTTTTGGAGGATGGCAGAGGAAATATCCACACACCAATTCAACCGAGCTTAGCCCTAATTTAAACATGAGCATAACTAAAAGGCATCATTTCTACTTTTCAAGATCTAATTTTTGCCCGGTCACGTTCACAGTTTCAGTTTAATTAATTTACTAAAAGACGGTGTCCTCTTACTTTCCACCTGTCAAACTCCAGATCGGAAAAACTCTTAAACTTAAACTGCACAGTTTTTTGTTTTCCGCATTTTGCCTCTCAGGCAACATACCAGCTGCCCAACTATCTTGGTGGAGGTTGTTGGGGCTATATGCCAGAGGTGGGAGTAAGTCACACATGTGCAAGTCTCAAGCAAGTCCCAAGTTACTGTGGTGAGTGTCAAGTAAGTCAAGTCACTACTATAAATCAAGTAAGACAAGTGTAGTCATTACTCAGGTAAAGCAAGTCACAAGTCAAGTCATATAAAAAAAAGAAGACAGATTTATGTGTTTTTGGGGGGGTTTTGTAGTGACGGAAGATGGAAGAAGAGGTTGTGGTGGTCTTGTTACTCATTATTGAGCTGCAGACCTTGCATACCGCTGTTCTCTTCTAACTACTGCCATCGACAACATAATCCTCAACTCCAAATTTTATTATTTTTGGACTAACCGCCTCCATGATGGCTGCTTGTCTCTTGGCATCCTTGTAGGTTGCCAGGTTTGTGCACATTGCGCTAGAAATCACCCAATTGTGTTTCAAAAACAAAACATAACTTCTCAATATCTAGAAAAATGCAACTATTTAATTTCTAAAAAGTCAAGTGTTTTCCATTCATCTGTCTCAAGTCTAACTAAAGTCTATAGCCATGAATACCAAGTCAAAGTGAAGTCAAACCTTTTATCAGTGTCCTGAAATTTGTGACTCCAGTCACATGACTTGGCTTGAGTCCCCCCACCTCACATATATTCATTAAAAGATAATTCTCCTAAACATGCTGGAACTGATCCTCAATCAGAGATAATGCAGTAAAATACAGTGCTCTTTGTGGTAAAGGTAGAAATAAAACATTTGTTATTGACTTTAAAGGTTCATTGTTGACCACACAAACAGTATTTAAAATGTTTGTGTCAAACCATTTTTATATAACATAATAAAAATATCTGCAATAATACAGGGCCTCTGCCTCTGACAAGAAAACTTCACCTACCCTGGCATCAAGATTGAACGCGGTCTTCTTTAGATCTTGCAGTGCCCTCTGCATAAACTCAAATGCATGACAGTCCACACATGGGCGACCTGCAAACAAGAAGAAAAATATCAGAAATTAAGAGATTCACATGAGGTCAGTGACTTAATTCTGAGATGTCAGTTAGCTCATGGGCGGATTATGAGAAACAGGACTGTGGGCACAGATGCAAAGGGCCCCACCACCTCTCCTACTTAGGAGTTGTGTCTTTTTGTCACCATTTGGGTCTCTTTGAGGTAATTTTGTCTCTTGCTGAAGTAATTTGTGTTTCTTTGTGGTAAATTTCTGTATTTTTTGGTTGTTTTGTGTCTGTTTGTAGTCGTCTGGCTCCCTCTGAGGTAACTATATGAGTGTTTAGAGTAATTTTGTGTCACTTTGAGGTAATTTTATGTCTTCTTTTGGTTGTTTTGTGTCACTTTATAGTCGTTTCTTGTCTTGTGAGGTTGTTTTGCCTGTTTTTGTAGTTATTTTGTGTCTTTGCAGTTCCTTTGCTTTTCTCTGTGGTCTTTTAGTGTCTCTTTGTGGTCATATTGAGTTTCTTCCTGGTTGGTATGTGTTAATTTGAGAGACATTTTGCAGGTGAAGGCTGACACTTTGGGTCCCCGGACCTTTACATAAGGTTTGCTAACTTGAGATAATATCAGCCACCATGAGCTCGTGGTCATACCGTACTTAGTAAAGCTGTAGCTGCAAAGCCCCTGAGTGGACTAAATTGAGCAACGGTCTGTTTTGTTGCTTGTGAATTAAACTTTTTATCTGTAAAAGGGAAGATTGTGATATATCTCCTTTAAAAACGTACAAAATCTGACTTGGCGGAGCTATTCCTGGTGCATTAACTCATCTGGCTTTAACTGGGGATAAATGTTATTCAGACTTCCATCTTGACAACTGTAAATATAAGTGTGGAGAAGCCTGAATTACACACTTGTTTTCATAAAAATGGGTGAAATTTCCAATTATCATCAGTGTTGGCTGCAAAAGACAATCCTAGGTTATCTGTTTCAACCTGGTACAGATGATGAAACGGGTCTTAAAGTAGCAGCAGAGGCCCATTTTTCATGCAGTGATATACACACCAATTAGGATGACATACAATTCCCAATAGGAAACCCCTGTGGGGAATGAAACCATCACTGTGCAGACAGATTCCCACCTGATAAACATTTGAAAACCTGCTCTGAACAGGCAGAAAACATATAAATAACATATTTAAATCCACCTACTTTCGGCAGGGATGACAGTCCCAGCCTCCTGATCCGCATCAGCTGCACCGAGACACAGGAGCTGGACCGCCAGAAGGAGCACCGTTGCCTGCAGATATCCACCGGATGCCATGGTGAAGATGTGATGGACTACCCTTTAAAATCAGAAACAAAATGTGCAGGTATGTGGTTAAATACATCAACGGAAAATGTCCTACACGGCCGTCAGTCACTGAAATGACAGATTCTGAAGGGCTTTGTTTAAAGAACAGTCCAGTTTTCATCGTTAAATATTTGTACGTGTTTCAAAAATACAGTCCACAAATCAGAATTACTATTAATTTAACAAACTACATGTTTTCCTACCGTCAATCAGTCGATGGTATTTGGCCGAACAGCGCAAGATGCCCACCTAGGATTGTTTAATGTGGATTAACGGAGTGCGCATGCGCATAGCTCATCTGAAATTCGCTTTGGGAACGGAATCAAGACTTCCGGTGAAAACGTTCAAAATAAAAGCCTTGACAAACAAACTGTATCATCTTATAAGAGATTCGAGTAGATAAGCAGGCCTATTTTTATTTAGGTGCAGTCATAGTCATACAATTAAGAGCTAATTAATTAATTCTATTAGTGCAGTACTTTGTACTTTGCTTGTGTATTTCCGTTTTTTTGCCAGGCCTCAAATTTCAGAGGGAAATATTGTACTTTACTTCAGCTACATTTATTTTACAGCTTTGGTTGCTAGTTATTTTTTCAGATTAAGGTCAACCAAGTACGTGAACAGTTTATAAAATATGTATAAATTGTAAAAATAATTGATTCAACATTTATAAAGTCTTAAAATGTGCTTTATCTCCATCAGCTACCACATTAAACTGCTGCTTGCATGCTAATACATAACCTAAGTAACTATAACACTCTCAGCCCTTCTATATTATAATTACTTTTACTTTTAGCCTACATTTACAGCAGTAAAACCGAGTATTTGTAGTGTTTTTACAATGCAGTATTGCTACTTTTACTGAACTACAGGATCTCTTTTGATTATTATAATATATAATACAATAATGCAATGTGCATATACAGTTTACATATTTTATAATTGCAGATATTGTAATACTTTTGACACTTGCACTTTTTGCAGTGGTGGTTTAAAAAATATATTTTTTCATTGTTTCTAATAGGCAATGTCAGGGTGGCAGGTAGGGTCTCTAGATAAGGCAATAAAGTACAATAAAGTAACCCACCATTGTCACATCAGTTGATACTCTGCTTTAGAAGTGCATAGTCCCAAAGTAAACCAAATTACCACCATTAAAATACCACAACAAACCGCAGCTCATTTGGGAGAACCTGGGAGAACCTTTATTGATCCCCAAGGGGAAAGTCAGGTGTTGCAGCAGCACAAGGGCAGAAATAAGTAAAGATAAAAAGAGAAGTGGAAAAAATGAAAACAACTAATTCTATACGAGCAGAAATGAAAAATATGAATTGTAAAAAACATTTAAAAAAAAGTTACAAGGTAAAATGACACTATTAATACAATGACTGATGGCAGTGAGTCCAGTATCTATGTGAACACTGTACACCAGAATAACTGTGATTAAGTAATACTTAGTATTTTCTGTATTAATATAGCAGAATAGAAATTCAGTATATGATGTGGTAAGATGGTATAACATTGAAGTAATACAGCATGATATAGTGCAGTATAGTATAATATAAGGCACAATGTAATGGTAATAATAATAACTATATAATATAAATAATATTTGCTTGTATAACATATTATAGTACGGCAATAAATCAGAACATCATATGTAATATGGGGTAGTAGCCCATAGTATAGTATAGTATAGTCAGTGTTGGAGGGTAACTAGTTACGGTAACAAAATTACTAGATAAATATAATTGTAATCAGCTAAAGTTACTAAGAAAAACATGTAATTACAGTTACTAATCAAAATGTTGATAATTACAGAGGGGTTACATTTGAATGTATTCTCTTTGATAAGAAGTTTATATGTAAAATAAAACATTTACTCTTTTGCTCTGTATCTTTTCGCCGTGTAGGAGTGCATTCTTTTGGCAAAGCCTCTTTTCGGACATTTTTCAGCTTTATTGTTTAAAGTAATCAAAAAGTAATGTGGTGTGCACCTGTAGTGTACTGTTTGATGAAGTAATTTTCAATTACATTACGAATTACATTTTAACAGGGTAACTAGTTAGGGTAACTAGCTAGTAACCTTCCCAACACTGAGGACAGGACAGTACAGTACAGTGTATAGTATGGAGCATTGAGTGGGTTATGGTCCAGTTGGTACTATGCATGGTAAAGAATAAATGTAATTTAAAATAAGTTCATTAAAAAAATAATAAGTAGGAAAAAATTGAATAATATGCACCTTTATGCGAGTTATACCCATACACAGTGACACTTGTAAGGCGTAACTTAACTTTATTTAAAACAACACAACATATGGCTAAACAAAACTGATATATATTGCTACAGTACTCCAGATGAAAAACACCTGTTTTTTTAAATTTTAATATTTTTTATGGCTCATTGTTGTCAAGTGAAATGCCCTCGACCCCGGTGTGGGCGGGGTCCTGACTGTTTTCTTAGGTAGCCCGTTAAAATGCCCGAACTCAAAACACTTCTTTTTCCAAGATGGCGTCGATGAAGGACAGCGACACCGGCCTGTGGCTTCATAACAAATTGGGATCCACGGACGAGCTGTGGACGCCTCCAAGCATCGCCTCTCTCCTCACCGTGTCAGTAATTGACAACATACGGCTGTGTTTCTCGAGCTTATCGCCCCCGGTGAAGCTCAAACTCCTGCTCGGGATGCTGCATCTTCCCAGGCGAACCGTTGACGAGGTGGGTTGCTGTGCGTTAGCTAGCGGTTAGCCTGGCAGGTAAAGTACGCTAATAACGTCAATACGCATCTATTAATAAAGCTTAATGTCTGTCTAGTTGCTTTAAAAATATAAAAATAGATCGCTGTTCAAGTGACTGTCTCAGGCTGCCGGTGAAACGTCAAACTACGCTTATAAATCTATTAGGCTAGCGTTAGCTTGCTATCTGTAATTATTGGCGACGGTTAATGTCGTTAGCGAGCGTCAGAAATACAAAGCTGGTGTTATTCCTGCGACCGCCTTTACCTCAGCTTCAACAGAACATTTACACGATTTAACGTTAACGTTAGGTAGCTACACCATTTAACGTCGATCGTAGCCGTGTTTTTTCAGCAGAGGTTTACCAGCGACAGCGGGAAGCATTAGCCTAGCGGGACTCGTACAGACATTATGGTGGGATGGGCACAAGAGGGCTAAGTGACTGAGCTGGAGGGCGGTACCAGCACCGAGTCCGACATATCACTTGTTCAGCTGCCTTTAACGTTAGATACCCGTCATCACAGTGTCTTGCATATTCACACAGCATGTTTAACACCATCACCTCTGCCATAAGTATCTGATCTGAGATCCTCGTAGTCCCTCTACTCATTTGAATATAATATACTGTGTAGTCAGAATAAGGTTTATTGTCAAGGAGGCGTTCACTTAAACAGAATTTGCCTTAATGCACACAATGAACATAACAAGAGGGAACACATTGGAGGGAAATGCAGCTAAAGTCAAGACCACAAATAACCCGTAGACTACAAAAAGTACTTTGCAAAATGCAGTAACTAATGTGCACAGTATAGCTGATGAGTATGGGAAAGCTGTGTAGCTTGTGCAGGATGTGCAAAAGTTCACAGTAGTGAGAATATGCATATATATTTCCTTATTAACCAGGTAAGTCCCATTTCTTTTACAAGGGAGACCTGGCAGCACAGCAGCACACAAAAAGTTACAGCCAAAACAGCTGCACAATAGAGAACATAAAAGAAATACAGTAACATGTAAACAATATTAGAACACCTACACACAATGACACCCAGTCGACTCATTCATCCTTGTACACATGAGAGCTTTAAAGTCAGGCAAAGGGGCCATTTCACATGGTTTCAAATCTTTTTGAAGGTTATTCCAAGCAAGAGGAGCAGAGCACATAAAAGCATTCTTTCCCATCTTAGTCTGTGCACCAGGACCAGACAGCAAAACTAAATCTTGAGATATCAGACTACAGCTACAGTGAGTGATTGCAGTGTGAAATATACAGGGATAATAGTCCAAGATGTGTCTTAATGTAAGACATAAGGTAAGGTAAAATAAGATGATCCTTTATCAGTCCCACGGCAGGGAAATATGTATCATTACAGCAGCAAAGGGGACAGTGCAAACGAGAAGCATCTGTAAAATAACACAAGCAATGTAATAAGTACCCATTAGGGTTGCAGCGGTATGAGATTTTCACTGTAGGATAATCATCTCGGAAAATATCACGGTATTACATTATTATTATTATTATTATTATTATTAGAGGTCAAAATGACCCTGAAAGGAATAAAAACAGAGGGGTTATTTTTGGTTGACCAATTGTTTTATTACTACAATTGAAACTTAAAACTATTTTTTAAATGTTTGGTAAAAAGTCTCCCTTTTGAAACAACTAAGATGAAGATGAGATTCTTCATCTAGTTGCATTTGTTTTCATTATCATAGATAAGCAAATATACACGGTGTGATAACTATCAATTTAATATTATGGTATACCTTAAAACCCATATACCGCCGCAACTCTACTATAATAAGTAAACAGTTAAAAAGCAAAATATGGTAAATATACTGTGTTTACAATTCAGAGAGACAGATTTAGGGCAGGGGTGTCAAAACTGTTTGAATGGGAGCAGGATCAGATAATGTGAAAGTACTTAAGGGCCAGCTGCGCCTTGCATCAAGCATAAAAAAACGCACATACAAATGAGACAAAAGCAACAGTTTCATTGCTGAGTGAAAAAGTAGTCAACTTTCCACTGCTCCTGAACGTGGCAGCTCTGGCTGTCGACTACGTTTTTTTGCTTTGACCACGTCTGCTGCTAGGTAGCTGTTCATTTGCATGTTTACCATCTGTTTATGAAAACGTAGTAGTTCTGCCTGTATAGTTCCTAGTTGGTGCATGTGTATGAACTCCATGGGTGAAGAGAAAAATGCTGAATGAACTAACTTGATCAACCAATTTTGTGTGGCAAGCCACTTAAAGTTTATTTTAAAAGAAAAGCTGAGGGCCATCTGCGGGCCACGATTGGCCCCCCGCCTGGACTTTAGACATGCCTGATGTAGGGGTCTTCTTAAAGGTGGAAAAGGTGTTGAGATGTTTTATTTAAGTAAAAGTAGCATTACTTAAATGTTAAAAAACTCCAACATCCTTTTAGTACAGAAGTGTTAAGAGTAAATTGTTTGTCAAATATAAAAAGATATAGAAAATAAAAGAGCTTGACGGAATGTCTCTAATCAGAGTCATATATTTTTCACTATTACTGATAGATTACTGTGTTGTAGCTGCTCAGAGTGGAGCTTAGCTGATTTAAACAACTTAACATTTGGGCTGCAACTGAACTAATAATTATTTTCATCATTGCTGATGAATCTGCTGATCAGTTTCTTGATCAAAGGATTAATTGTTTGGTCTTAAACCTCAGAATATTTTGTATAACGTCCACCAGAGAGCCAAAGCCAAAGGTGACTTCTTCGATATGCTTGTTTTTTTGTTTATTTTTCAGCAGGTGGCTCTCGTGAAGTTTTACATAGCAGAACAAAAAAGTCAGATGACATGACTAATCTTAGCTGTACGTCTTGCACACAAATGACCTGAGATGAACTGATTGCTCCCCAACAGATAAAAGCAAAGGTTAAATCAGATTCAGTTCTAATAGACCTTCACCTACTCAGAAACACAGCAACAAGACTGAAATGAACAATTGATCAAACAAAATGAAACAGCCTTAAATGTAATGACCTTTATTCTTTTGATATTGTCAGTTAAATGAATTATTTGTTTGTTAAACAACAAGTTATTCAGTGATCATGAACTCCTTAGACAGTGCATTCATCTGTTGTTTCTTAAATTGGTTTCACTGACACGGTCTTCCTCTCTGGCCAGATGAAGGAGGCGCTGTCGGAGATAATCCAGCTGGCTACGGTGGATTCAGAGCCCTGGGTGCTGATGGTTGCAGACATCCTCAAGTCCTTCCCAGAGACTGGCTCTCTCAATCTGGACTTGGAGGAGCAGAATCCAAATGTGCAGGATATTCTTGGAGAGCTCAGGGAGAAAGGTAGAGAGCGTGTGACTGTGTCTTTATGTTCATTAAGCTGTGGTGACCCCTCACTGACTCCCACTGCTACATTGCGCCTTGTCAAAATAAATCAAAACTTATATGACTGGACCATGTGGGCATTTAATTTGAAAGGACAGACACAGGAAGTGGCCACTCTCAGCAGACAGACAGGAGTCACGTTACAAACCAATCACAGCCGACAGATATCTTTTCCTTCTTCTGTAAACATTCAGTCTGATAAATACGGAAAAGTTGATCATGTTAGTGCAGGGCTACCCAGAGCTTTACGTCTGTCCCACGGACGACAGACACAGGCACTCAAATAAATAGTCTATACAATGCTTGTTAAGGTTGCTTAGCAACCTCAGACGCAACCTGCTGCCATACTCTTGAAAGCTGGCACAGAAAAGGCACAAGAGTAGTGCCCGACCTCACGTTTTCAGGTGGTTAAAGATACAACATTTCCAGGGCTGGTACCTGCGGTTATTCCACAGTTAATAGTTAGTTAATAACATGTCGGGCAGGAAATCCAAAGTGTGGGATCATTTTGAGAAGGTGAAGTACAAACCCAAGGTGATATGTAAACTCATCTTCATTGGTCGACTACAAACATGACGTATCATCTGAAACATGGAAGTAGCTACATGCCCATTAGCCCACAGCGTCATTAACAGGCGGCTCGCTCAGTGTGTGACGTGCACTTGTAGATAAAATATAGGCCTATATTAATGAAGGTTCATTAGGACGGTTTTGTATTTCTCTGTAATGTAGCACAGTGTTAACAGTGTTACTGATACTATTCTTCCTCACACCTTCAACTCAAACCATTGTGTTGCCCTGCCCAAAATATATTATCTTGTTATACTTACACTACTGTTTTGGTAAAGGCACTTACAAGTGAGTTTGGTTAACCAACAAAGTTGCTCGTAGTGTAGACAATCATGGTGTACTGTGGTTGATAAGTGTGGGAATTTCCTGTTCTGAGTGCATCACTGGTTGTTATACCTTAATATGAAACCTGCTCAAGGCTGCATACACATCATATCAGGCGTTAGGGCAGTGAGCTGCAGGGTTGTGCAGCTGTGGGGGAGTGGAGGGTAGAGACCGAGTATAGAGAGCCAATCTCTCATCTTGGTGACAGAGTACTTGTCCTCTGTGAGTTTGTTAATGTTGGCTGCAAAGACCTGCAGAATTCCTTTTGATTATCGTGACTGTACCGTCTTTAGTGCCAAAAAAGATACAGTTCACACACACACACAAACAAAGCAGCTTCTCTCCTTTGTAGGATAGTACACAGCCAACACACAAGCATACTTTGTTTATTATTTTACTCACTATAATATTAAATGATTGAAAGAGACTGCATGACTTTTTCCTGTGGACTGTGGGCGTCTTTAGGCCTGATTGCTGGTAACGTTATTAGCTGCTGCTGCATGACATCTGGTTGGGTTTCCAAAAGTTATTTATGTTAAAACTTTTTGCGCCAGGCTGCACATGCAAATGAGAGAAGGAGAATCAGTGTTTTTGCTGCAACACCTAATTTGGTGTGAACTCGACAAGTGAATAGGAAGTCGAGCTGAGTGAAAGCCAAGTAAACTGAGTTTATAGAGAAGATTTATATCTGAAGTGTTTCTGCAGACCCTCTGCTGTGTGCTTACTGTAGGTTGTTTGCACAGAATTCAGACACCTCTATTCTCAAAGTTATTCAGGCCTCGTAATGATCTCTCAGTGTCACAGCACATTTTTCAGTTTCACTCTGCTGACATGTCAACCAGATGTTTACCCTCTCCTCCCCAGTGAGCGAGTGTGAGGCGCCTGCCATGCTTCCTCTGGAGTGCCAGTACCTGAACAAGAGTGCGTTAACCACTCTGGTGGGACCCCTCACACCCCCCGTCAAACATTTCCAGCTGAAGAGGAAGCCTAAAAGTGCAACCCTCAGGGCAGAGCTGCTACAGAAATGTAAGTTGCTCTAAACTGTAACTAATGCACACTGATATTTCAAAATACTGGTGCATATTTAGATTTGTTAGAAAATCATAGTGTGTATTTATTTAGCAAGCCCCTTTTACATTTAATCGGCAGGACTTTTAGGAAACACATAAGGAACTGCTATTGATTAAATGTTAAATGGGCTTGCCGTAGTGTTTGTTAACAGTTTAACTGTCCCAGAGAGGTAGTTGAGTTTCTTTGTAACTCTTCATGTCCTTGTTTGAATGTAAGAATCTGCTATTGTGCAGTGTCTTTATTCAAAGTTATATTGTTCTCCTCTCTACTCTAGCCACAGAGACAGCCCAGCAGCTAAAAAAGACAGCCGGAGTGCCTTTTCACGCCAAAGGGAGAGGATTGGTCAAAAAGATTGACACTACAAGTAAGTTGAAGATCAATAAACGCACCTAAACATCTGCTCTTTCAATGCTGCTAAAAAGCAACATATCATTATTTTCTTCAGTCAAAAATTTGACTTCTGTTACTGTTGCTGATCCATGTATTAATTTTTGTATCACAGCTCCTCTCAAGGGGATTCCCAAGGCCCCTTTCCGCAGTCCCACTGCTCCCAGTATGTTCAGCCCTCCCAGTAACCGCACACCTATTGCCCCTGCACGGACGCCCCTGCGTAAGGAGAGAGGGGTCAAGGTAATGACCAGATTTAAGAGAATGAACCCAAAAACTTAAAACTGAATCCTGCCTTATTAAGTATCACGTCTGTTGTATGTAATTTCCCTCACGCTGACCACAGTTGCGTTCGTCTTGTTCTTTCTTCTTTTCAGCTGTTAGATATTTCAGAGCTGGATATGGTCGGAGCTGGGAGAGAAGCAAAGAGGAGAAGAAAGACTTTGGGTAAATGTGTTTCCTGTTGGCTCGCCAAAGTAGCCAGTGTTACCAGTGTTACATGGTGTTCTGGCATTCACCGGTTACACCACTTGCCCACCGCCCACACTGTGGTTTTGCTTTTTTTCTTTTTTTTTCAATAGCTGGACGACAGATGCTGCAGTTATAAACTGAAAGTGTCTGCTTTGAACAGCAGCAGAGCGGCACAGTCAGATTTAACTTATCATGTGGCGAGGGTTGATTGGCAAGTCTAGCAGAGGATTTGACGTCAAAGCGGAAAGCAAAAGTGCCTTTGCAATATTTCTAACCGATCCTCTCAAGAAGTGCCAAAAATGACTGTTGACCACATTTTTGATTAACGATAGCAGTAGTGCTAATCTCACTGACGAGTACATCGTATGTCCTGTGACTATTTCACAATAAATGTCTTGTTTCCTCAGTTAAGTGCTTTTAATGTGAAGCTACGGCAGTAGGAAATGTTCAGCTTGCACTAGTAGTAACTTCATACAGCAATTAACAGATGTTGAGCGTCGTGGACAAATATCTTGTAAAATGTTTGCTGTAATCAGTAATGTTGCTGTTGTCACAAGTTTATTTATCGTCCCTAGTTTCCAGCCTCCTTCAGCCCAAGTTTTAGAGCTGCACCATGAACTTGTCACCCAGTATTAACGTTTTTTTCTGCCATAGAAACGGAGGCCGGAGAGAAAGCAGCCAAAGAAGAAGCAGCCGTGGTGGAAAACACCACACCCGACTACGCTGCCGGCCTCGTCTCTGCACAGGTACGTGACTCCACATGTTCACATCACTCAGACATTCTGGATTTCTCCTGTTTGGTCTCATATTACCGCCGCCCCCTCACCATCCCACTCACTTTTTCCCTGGCTCTGTCCTAACAAATACGGTTTTGTGTTTCAGAAACTGGGGGCATTGAACGAGAATCCTCTGCCGTCTACCAGCTACCTACCGGCCACACCCAGCATGGTCCCCTCCTCCTCTTACATTCCCAGCTCCGAGGCCCAGCCAGGTTAGACAAGATCACATAGCACTGTATTGTTGGCTCAAACAAAAATTCCTCTCACATCCAGGGGTCAGGGCTTTCATACACTTATTGGTTCAAAGACGTCCCCTGCAGGCGTCAGCAGAGAATCCTGTCAATCTCACGATGTCTTTTCTTTACCAACCTCCTCTGAAGCAAATGCTGGTGGTTCAGGACGGGACACGCTGCAGTCGGCTCGCCAACCAGAGGAGTCAGCAACAGCGGGCGCTGGCGCCACCGCCACTGCCACCTTACCAGGTCAGTACAAACAGAGGACGCCTATGTACAACGCGAGCAACACGGCGAATCCCGCAACCCCAACGTCCCCCAGCACGCCAGTCTCCACCCCCGCCAGCAACGGGCCCCCAGCGGCTGCGACTGCCAGCCAGCCAGAGACCCCCACCCAGCCTCCGAGCACACCGCAGACCCCCACCCCAACACCAACCCCTACGCCACCTCAGCCACAGCCCAAAAAGAACCTGTCACTCACGGTAAGGTGGAGGCACAGAGCATCGAGTCCTTCAAAGATACAATAAAGATGTGTCCTCCAGCTAAGTTCTCTGCTGCATGCTGCTTCTGTTCCTCAGAGAGACCAGATGTACGCTGCCCAGGAGATGTTCAAGACGGCCAACAAGGTCACCAGACCAGAGAAGGCCCTCATCCTGGGCTTCATGGCTGGATCCAGAGGTACTCAGCAATAATCTCACTCGCTGCCTGATCAATAAATAAATAAATAATTAAACAGTCTCTCACTGAGTGACTGATTCACATATTTAAATGTGCAGGCACAACAAATTACTCCTGTCACTATGACAACTGAGTGTTTCCTGGCAGACCTCTTGCAAATTAGCCTTTTCATCACTAACTAAAACAAAGAAGAAATATTGCCAGGGTCACTTCAGCTTCTATCCTTATCTTTTTACCTGTTTTCGCTGCTGATTCAGTTTGACATCCTGGATACATCCTTCAAACACATTAGCCACAATATTTCTTCAGGGAGTGCAGTTAGAGGCAGTGTGGGTTACATGCTAGCTCCGACAGCTTGACAGACCATCAGCAGCTAACAACAAAGGGGTGAGGCTGATGGTTCCTAAACAGACACACAGATCTGTTGGTCCAATAATAACCAGTTTCCTCCCACCTGTCTTGCAGAGAACCCGTGCCCGGAGCAGGGGGACATCATCCAGATCAAGCTGAGCGAACACACAGAGGTTCTGCCCAAAGCCGACGGCACCGGCAGCACCACCATGCTGGTGGACACAGTCTTCGAAATGAACTACTCCACAGGACAGTGGACCCGCCTCAAGAAATACAAACCCATCACCAATACCTCCTGAGGAGCTTCACGTCCTCAAAAAAAAACACATCCAAAATTTCTTATCCACTTAAAAAAAGAAAATGTTTACACACGTACAAGTATTTGCATACACATTTGGGCCAAATCAAGCACTGGGCGGGTGAGAGGTCGTCAAGGAGAGAAAGGTCCTCCCTGTTCCTGCGCCGCCAAAATGCAGGACTCTTTGAAGAATATTTCTGTACTTTTTGTTTGGTTGTTTCCCTTTTATTGTTTCAGTTTTTAAGTCACCTGCGATTCCTGAATGATGCTGTGGTCACAAGGAGTGAGGGAGTTAAACGAGTCTGAGCTGAGGAATTGTTCTCACGGCAGGCACCTGTCAACATGTGTACTCTGGAGGTACCAGCATGTCACGTGTCTAGAGAGAAGACGAGCTGTCTGTATTTTTGTGTATGAATGTCACATTTTGCAGCTTATCTTCTTTCAGATCAGAATCATGGTTTGTGACAAAAAAAGAGAACAGTAATGAAGGTCATCATTGAGGTGACCAAAAGAAGAAAAAAAAAAACAAAGCGGTGAAAATGAGTTCTGTTTGGAGCCTTATGGTCGATGTTTTCATCCATTTTTCATCCTTTTTCCAAAGAAGGGAAGAAAATAAAGAGACAGCAGACTCCAGAGGTCGTTTCGCATCATTCTTACTCACTTCTAACTTTTAGGGAATTTACCACAGGTTTCCTTTCCTGTGTTTTTTATGTGCCTTTCCCTCCCCTACTTACATTTATAATCAGATTGTGATTAATCTATTTTGGAGGGTTTCTTAAATTCCTTTGCCGTAAAGGGACAGTCCACTCCAAAAATCAAAAATACATATTTTCCCTCTTACCTGTTACAATATTTATCAGTCTTGATTGTTTTGGTGTGAGCTGCAGAGTGTTGGAGATATTGGCCATAGAGATGTCTGCCTTCTCTCCAATATGATGGAGCTATTGTACTGTCGTCAGTCGGAGACCCCTCAATCGACTGAGAATGCTTCGAGTCGAGTAGTTGTCTTTTTTTTTTTGTTGTTGTTTTTTGCTAGTTAGTGTGCTCTGCAGTGTATTTCTGGAGATGTTTTGGTCCCCAGATTTTGCTGCTGATTGAGCGCTCTTGATTTTCTCGCTGCTCTTTGGTACCGTCAGCTGCGGACGTGATGCAGCAACACAGAGAAGGAGAAACTTTCCACCATAAGGCTCCGAGGCAACATTATTTTCTCACTTCTGCTTTGAAGTGATTAATTTACAGCTCACAGATACTTAATTCAACTTTAGAATTTTGTTTGTTATCCAGAAAGCATTGTTAGCTTGTTTGCTGTAATATATGAATGCCACTGCTGCACTGCACATCCTGCTGAGCCCCCGTCAAACTTCAAAATTTGGTATGAAGAAAAAAAACAGAGTCAAATATTTGTTTTAAACGGCCAAATCTGATTCGACTGAGTGGGGTAAAACCTTACTTTCTACCGAACTACACCCGCCAACTTTATCACTGTGCAGCAGGCAGTGTGCATCTACTCATAACAGGTCATGGTTTCTGTAAAGAGACATTACTGTTGAGTTTTTCAAATGTATTTTTTGATGCTTTGAGCACCACAAGCAGAGTCTCATCTAGTTCCATTATATTGGAGAGAAGGCAGACATCTGTACGACCAATATTTCCAACACTCTGCAACTTGGGGTGAACTGTCCCTTTCGCCTGAAGCTGGATATTTCAGCAGGTTTTCTGCAGCATTTTGACCCAAATTGGGCACAATCTAACAGAATCCTGTAAGTTGCACAATTTTAACTATTACAGGAAACCAGTGCACTCAGACTGTATAATGCATATGTTAAAAGGCATACCTCAGCTAAGAAATGGTCCCGTATGTAACTTTACATAACCTGACAACACTTTGTACAGACTAAACAAAGCAGATATAATGTGTTAGTGAGCTATTGAAGGTGTCGGTAGGTGGATCTTGTCACCTTTGGACAGTCAAAGCGCCGCTGGCTGTTGCTTCACATGTATTGTACAGACATAAGTGGTTGCACTTTCCTGTTTCAGAGTGTCTGCAAGTCCTTGAGTCATAAAATGTCTTAAATTCAATTTTATAAATATTACGCTCTAAAAGTCATAGTCATAAATTTGAATTCACAAGGTGTTAATTTCCACATTTTATCTAATTTTATCTATCATTTGAAGTGAAGCTCTTATGTGTGAAAGTCCAAGTTTATGATGTTACAAATCTTCAAACCTACCACTGAACCTTATACTGTCTTCTTCCTATACTTGCACTTACCTGTCCTCAAAATGTAGATGAACCTGACTCACTCTAAGGGTGATATTTCCACTAAAATATTCTACTTCTGCACTGGACCACATATATACTACTTAATTATATACTGACCTGCTGAATATGCTTGAATAAGACAGAGATGATTTATCCCAAAATCACTTTCAAATTTGGCTTAGAATTATCTTGCAACGGTCCTAAAAAGCGTTAAATGCAAGTGTCTGATAGCTTGCGTTCTTGTGTCGGCCAACATAGTTCTCTTCCACGCTTGGCACGCAGAAGTTTCTGTTCTACAACCTCTCTGCTAGATGCCACCAAGTCCTACACACTGGATCTCAAATGTATTCACCACCCACCTTCCCACATGTAAACATGATGTTTCTATTTTCTTTTACTATTTATAATGGGCAACATCTTATTTTATTGTAGAGCTGCATGCAGTGTGTCACTTTGCTCAGCACCTCCTTGCCCCACTGTCGCTCTCTCTGTTCATCGTGAGACAGATGCTGCAGGAGTGCGAGCTCCACACTCGGCGACAGTCGATCAGTGTCCACCTGCATACACAGTGACAGGGCTAACTGTTAGCATCACATGGCTAAGGTCACCTAACATTTATTAACAGGTTTAACGACAGTGGAGTTGAGCCGTTTCACTGTTGAATGTGTGAATGTCCATGTTGGATATTAGCAGCTGCTGTGTAAGCTCATGCTAACCGGCCAGACATCGAACTGACCCATAGTTAAACCAGCTCTGGAGACGGTCCCTCAGTGCTTCTGCATCTAACAACAGCAACAGAAAGTTTGTGGGTTTTTCAAATGTTAACATTGAATTTATGGTTTAATAGGCTAATAGAAGGCAATTTAAATTCCTATTAGATTGTTTTTTGTTTTTCTGAGTACCTGAATACTGTACAATGCAAGTACTGAAATGTGGAAATTACTTAAAGGTCCAGTGTGTAAGATTTAGGGGATTTAGTGACATCTAGTGGTGAGGATTGCAGATTGCAACCAGCTGAAACTTCTCCTGGTTTGAATTCCTTTCGTGTTCATTGCTCAGGAGGTTTTTACCAGGAGCCAAACTATCCGCAGAGGTTTCTTCCTCTGAATTTATATATATATATATAACTGTTGTACAGGTGATTACACACCCAAGAAAACATACTTATTATATTCCATTTCTGGCAGTATATATCACCCTAAATCTAACACACTGGACCTTTAAAATACTCATCCTTAGTTTTATTGTAGGAATCTGAATGTATAAATGACAGAAAAAATTAAGAGGTTTTATTTTTTATTAAATGAAATACATGAATTGCAGCAAAAAACAAACAGGCACCACAACTGATTAACTGCCATTATGCAACATTCACATTACCACACACCCAAGGTTTTGTCAGTGTTTAAACATTTCTAGTAAGTTACAAAACGCTGACACATTTACACGGGTGTTTCATTATTCTGACCTCCTCAGGGATGTGTCAGCACATGTGATTGTCATCTCTCTAGATTAGTTGTTTACACAGGAGATTCTTTAATGTGTACGGAGTCAGGTAACATCCACATTCTCTTAGCGTAGCTCCACTCAGCGTGAACCTGAGCAGAGGAGTCAGTAGTTTTAACAACAGAACCGTGTGTGTGTGTGTGTGTGTGTGTGGAGGGCGTTTAAAACCTTGAACATGTTGTCTGCTGACCTTTTGAGAGCTAAAATTGTAACACATGTAACTGTATAGGTGTTGGCAGTCCGGAAACAGGGAAAAACGTCCTGTCAGACACTGGCATCATACTGACGTGTCAAACCAAGTCACCAACAGCCAAAAAAACCCCTCATTATGTGTGTTAATGTGATTGCTAATTATCCATTAATATAAAAATCTATCTTTTTTAAAGCTTGTGCTCATGACTTCATCGTTCCTGAACAGGGTAAAATCATACAAATCATGACTGACACTTATTGGAACAACTGATTGGTGCAAAAATCACTTGTTTCCACTCGAACATTCAGCGATCTGATTGTACCTCTTTGTGTACTACAGCAAGCAGCAAGGCAGATAAGAGAGTACCACAATCTTTAATCCAACTGGCTCCAGTCTGGAGATTTGGTAACGACTGTCAGTGTGTGGTTTCAGTTGGCCCCGGGGTCCCTCCAGCCGCCGAACGTCTTCTCCAGGTACAGAGCCACCTCCAGGGTCAGATGGTCCTGCAGCTTCCCAGCAGCGACCTGCACACCCAGAGGGAGACCCTCCTCACCCAGACCCAGGGGGCACTGGGTGACTGGCAGCCCGAGGATGTTGATTACACCTGGAGGTACGTGGGAATAAAAACAAGACTGGAGCACATTCTGAGCACTTTACTACAGGTCCTGTCACTGCAAATACTACATGTTGTGTTTGATCAATTTAGTGGAGCATTCACGTGAAAGAAAACTCTAGGTAATTATGCAACTTTATAACTAAATTAGTCCCTGATTCAGACCAAAGCAAGACAACTCTGGGTCTGAAAGCACCCTAATATTCAGGCCTGTACAGTAAATATGTAGTAGGAGTAAAGGTGTGTGTTCCTGCCCTGAGACTGAACACATGAAGCAGGACTGTTGAAATCTGACGAGGACTGACCTGTGTAGGCGAAGTCGAAGGGTCTGAAGAGCGGGTGGTGGTGTTTGGGAGCCACTCTGGGGTGTGAGGGGTAAAGAAAAACACCGTCTGTCCCCAACAACTCGTCTACCTCCTTCTGCAGCTTTTCCTTCTGCTGGATGATGAAGGGCGAGGGTTTGGACACATGGGTCATCTCCAGCAGGCCCAGACCTGAACACGTCACACACACACACACACACACACACACACACACACACACACACATCATGGAAACTTGTACAGCTGCAGCTTT